GCACAACGCTGTTGATGATCACGCTATCTAAATAAACACAATAGTTTTACATGTTGATGGCCGCTAGCTTGAATGTGTGCTAAAGGGAATGGTTTGTTGTGATAAATGCAACTACATGAAAGGACAACAGCTTAACATCTTTATACGTGCACCAAATTAACTGTTCATTTTGGTACAAACACAATTTTATTAAAATAATATGCAAAATAATAATATATGCATTCAATTATTTCAATTATAAAAGTGTTTATCTAATATTTTCTTCTAGGCTTTTTGCGGAAATTTTCATATTTCTATTCCTATATAAGCTGTGAGCAATGTATAAAAAATAATTTAAGGGAGTAACAAATTTCATTATTTATTTTCATAATTGGGTATGAACATTTTGATACATCGATATTATGAACCAAATATTTAAAATTAACAAAAGTCTTAAATCTGATTTATAAAAAGAAAAATAGGCATCATGTCCAAAATATATTTCATCTAATAATAGTAATAAAAAAAGTAGAACAAAAACTGAACTATAAATACATGCATTTTAATTTTCATTGACCGTTACTTTCCATGATGATGCTGTTTAGAGTTTCAGATGCAACATCAACATAAACTTTTGTTTATAAACATGTTGTTTCATTCAGATTGCGAATTTAGATCAAAGGGCTTCAGTGGAGTGATGGCTAGGTTGGTTAAGTTCAACTGTTGGCATGTACCGGGTTGGGAGTTCAAATCCACACTGGGTCGTGTTACTTTTATTTGTATATTTATTTATTTTTTTGAACATAAAACGGATGAATTCGGTAATGTATGTAAATGGTACAGGGTATATATCATTTGATACGGTTAAAACAGTAAAATAAAAGCGATGTCCGTCCGTTTGTCTGTCTGGCTGGTGCGCACGATAACCCTCGAAGGGAGTTTCGATTTAGTCCAAACTTGGAACATCGTAATACCTCTCCCACAAATAGGTCGACATTTTCAAAAAATATATTTTCTGCACAGAAAGAGAAACGATAATCCAATTTTGGTCCAACCTTGCAAATCCTTATATTTGCGTCAGTGCTAGGTCAGTTGCGAAGATGGACAATATCGGTCCACTCCACCAAGTACCTACCCCACAGAGGGTCAACATTTTGAATAATTTCAGCTCTTATAAAAAGTGATGTAAGAGTCCAATTGTCTTCAATTTTCAGACATCCTAATATTTTTATCAACCCAAGATCTAGTGTTAAGATGGAACATATCGGACAACTCTTTCCTTCTTTGAATATCCATAAAGCTCGTAAAAAGTGAAATTAAAATCGATAAAAAAAACATATTCATATCAGATTTCTGGTTAAGAGAAATATTTAGATGTAGCAAGTTGTAAAAAATCGCCGACTTCTTTCGCAAGTTATGACAGATATAAATATTGGAAATTGTGACCCTTTTTGGGTGTGGTACCAGAAGGAGTTGGCAGAGTTGGGTGTTTATTTCGCTTTCTTTGAGAGTTTTCTCATATCTACCATCTTTATACCCTCAGCCATATGGCTACAGATGGTATGTATCATTTGATAGGTCAAAACGTGCCTAGTCGAAATAACGGCTTTAGACCCTAGGTCTCTTTGAACCAAATCCGTTTCAGAACATTTGGAGTCGATCTAGCGATGTCTGTCCGTCCGTCTGTCTTTCTGGCAGGCTGGTGCGCACGATAACTCTCGAAGGGAGTATCTGATTTGATCCAAACTTGGTACATCGTAATATTAGATCGAGTTCGGAGATGGACATATCGGTCCACTCCTTTTGGTACTTTCCCCACAAAGTTCGACATTTTCAAAAAATATATTTTTTGCGCAGAAAGAGAAAAGATAATCCGACTTTGAATATCCTTTGCGTATCAGTAAAGGGTCAGGTGTGATGGACAATATCGGTCCACTCCATCGAGTACCTCCCTCATAAATGGTCAAAATTTAGAATAATTACAACTCTCATAAAATGTGATGCAATGGTCCGATTGTTTTCAAATTTCACACATTTCAATATTTATATAAACCCAAGGTCTGGTATTAAGATGGCCAATATCGTCCACTCCTTTTGGTACCTCCCCCACAAAATGTCGAAATTTTCCAAAAAAAATATCTTTTGCACAGAAAGAGAAAGGATAATCCGATTTTGTTCCAACTTTTTATATCCTAATATTTGCGCCAGTGCTAGGTCAGGTGTACAAATGGACAATATCGGTCCACTACATCTAGTACCTCCCCCACAAATGGTCAAAATTTTGAATAATTACAACTCTCATAAAATGTGATGTAAGAGCCCGATTATCTTCAAATTTCACATATCCCAATATTTATATTAACCCAAGGTCTAGTGTTAAAATGGAATATATCGGTCCACTCCTTCTAGTAACTCCTCACAAATGGTCGAAATTTAAAAAAAAAATAATTTTTTGCACTGAAGAAGAGAAATGATAACCCGATTTTGCTCCAACTTTGCTAATCCTAATATTCAGTGCTATGTCTGGTGCGAAAATGGACAACATCGGCCCACTCTTTCTTGTACCTACCCCACAAAGGGTCAAAATCTATATACATAAAAGAAAGCTGTGTTAGTTACTACGCTTATAACTCAAGAACCGCTGGTCTGATTTTAGCGATTCAGACAAATTCGGATTTGTCTCTTGCCGCTCTTAACGCGGTCACACCTAACTGTAAGAATAATTACTATTTTAAAATCGGTAAGGTCCTTAAGCATTTTCTGTAACAAATCCGCGAACAAATACAAGAATAATACACGTTTTTTCAATATGACTTATCTTATTGAATTCAATCGTGTTTTTTTATGTGAACAAATTAAGTGATGGTTACCAAGTCTTTAACTCAAGAACGGCTGGCCTGATTTTGACTATTTCAGAATGGTCTCTTGGCCTGAAAAGAAAAAATCCAAAATATCGCGTAAAGATACGCCAATAAAAATGTTAGTTAACTTTTTTTTGTGATGTAAGGGTTGCCCATATTCGACGGACCCATCTAGCAACGCCATAACTTTTGACAGAGATGTCACATCGCTTAATGACATACCGCGTTTGAAGCGTTAGTCCAAGCAGATTTTTACCATGAACCAATACACGCGCTCTGAAATAGTTGAAATTTACATTTAACAGAAGAAGTCAATTGTGAAAACTCAACGTGCTTTTAAAACATTAAAAAATGTGAGAAGTGCGCCTTCTAAGAACACCATTAAGCGTTTATAGGAAAAATTTTCGACTGGTAAGGCTCTTTTTAATCCGAAGAGGCCATATAAAAGTCGACCAAGGCGATCGGCCGTGAATATCGCTGCCTTACGAGTCAGTGTTGAGAGGTCCCCAAGAACATCCCAAAAACGCCGTTCTCAGCAGTTGGGCATGGCTCGGTCCACTTTACAACGGATTATTCGCATTTATTTGCATTTGTTCCCGTACAAAATTCAATTGACGCAAAGAATGTTGCCTGCGGACAAGCCTCGTCGATTGGAATGGGCCAAAAAAAATATGGGTCCGTCGAATATGGGCAACCCTGTATATATTTTTAATTTTTCATAATTTTAAATATTGTATAAATCATGGCCTATATAAGGTCGGCCAGTAAGACCATCTGACGACCAAGTTTTTTGTCAAAATGTATTCTGAATTCGCCCTAACAAAACAAAAACAAAATTTGACGTTCTTGTCAACAAATTTTCAAATAATTTAAATAATTAAAGGAGTTTGAAGACAAATCTATATAAATTGTAAGTAAACAGAAAAATTTGTGAATTTTGAAAATGAGAATTTGCCGAATATGCAGAAGGAAGGAGGTTCCAGGAAGGTTCAAAAAGTCAATAATTTCAAAGAAAATAATTTACTTTATACAACAAAAACAGATCATCCAATTTTGTTCAAACTCTCCATATCAGTGCTAGGACGATATCAGTCTACTCTCAAGTACCTCCCCCACAAAAGGTCAACATTTTGAATAATTTATCTATCATAAGATGCATAATAATCATACCTCCCACACAAAAGTCGACATTCTGATACATTATGTTTTCCTTTTAGTTGTTTTCATTTATTGGCAATTAACAAATTTGCCGTAATTATTAGATGTCAGGGCGAAACAAGTTTTTTTGCCTAGAAAAAAAAACAAAAAATTTACATTAAATTTAACAGACAGATCTGTATTTTTTTATCAATTCGCTTCCTGGCCGGCTTTATATATAGGCCATGGTATGATTTTTTTTTAATTTGACATGCTTCGTTGGAGTTTAAATTTTTTGTTTGAATTCTGAATGTAAGGTAAAAAATAAGATTAGTGCACAATACGATGTTAAATGGCAATCTTTCCAAACAAACAAACAAGAAGACCGATAAATCTGTATAGGGGTAATATCAAAACATGGACCTAATCCTTTTGTTAATATAAATCGGACCTAGTGGGATTCAGTTCAAACACATAAATTTGAACTGACACTAACAGTCCTTAAAGTTCTCCTTACAAGCACATAAACTTAAAGGAAAGACGATGATTATTAAATAAATCCAAATTGGTTATGGTCGCTTCATAAAAGACAACTGACTAACTCTTTATTATTTTCATTCTTTTATACAAATAATTTCTTAACATAATTGATTACTTGCATAAAGTAAAACTAGGTCAAATATTATTAATACAAAGTGAATAAATGAAATTGTTGTATATTGAACCTAAATAAACGTTAATAAATGGCTTACATGAAAATGCTGAATTAACAAACTAGAATAAAGCTGTAAATACGTCACAACTAAACTACAACGTAAATATTAATAGGTATGTAGATACGTATGTGTTAACATTCTCCGCCGCTTTGACAGTGTTCAAGCAGAAACGGAGCAATTTGTCGTTGATTGATGAGTCCTTACAGCTGGAGTAGGTGTAAATTGAGCTGGTTTGTTGAACCTTAAATGCATTCTCCAACTCAGCAGACCGAGCAGAATAATAATGCAGCAACATAACGAGGTGTAGCTAACTGCATGATGGTGAAGACTGGTGGAGTGGATAAGTTGTGTGCAAATATTTAAGAGTTGATTCATTCAACTGCCGTTGTATATTATCCAATACTTCCAGATGAATCTTGTAAGAAGTATTGTTCGTGAGCGTTAGAATCTTTTCTATTTCCTGTGGTGGACTTATAGAATGGATGTTTTTTAATCTCACATATGAAGTTTGTATGCTATTTGAGGGTTCAAAATGTCCATGTATGGTAACAAAATGGTTCTTCATGACACAGTTGGAACCTATCTCCATTATTCCGGCATTCTTGATGATGATAAGATTTCTCTCCGTACCGCATACAATAGAAGATTCAACATCGACAGTAGTAGCGAAGATCCATCTATTTTGATGATGCAATTGGGTCCATACTGTAGATCCAATAATCTTGTTGAGATTGCAATTGGCTGTCGAATGATTATTAAAGATATTGACTTCACAGGGGTTGGCGACTGCGTTCCTCTGGAGTTTGGACCGCTGATTTCTACCGATGTATTCGTCATTCTTTGGTTTAAGGCATCTCGATATGTCCTCAGGTTGGAAAAGTATGTATTCGTCTCGGTGAGCATCTGTAGCCAAGTATGACTTTTCTGGGTTAATGGCTATTAGAGTGCCATTCCTTATTGTTGGAACGGGTACTGCCTTGAATAGCTCAAAAAACTGTTGATTGACTAAGGGTATCTTGACCTCGAAGATGACTTCATGCTTTGTCACTGCACCCTTGACGCTCATAAGTTTATAGAGCTCAATCAAGTTCTCATCGTCCGTTGGTAAAGCGTGCGAAATTGGAAGATTAGCCTTGATTATGTTAATTTCTTCTCTCAATTGATGAGGAGACAGTAAAAGTGGACTTATTTTGCCATTATATGTATCGGTAAGTACACTAATGATTTCCGACTCTACTTTCTGCAGGTTCATTGCGGAGAATACCAGGTACGTTGACAAGAGTCCGACAAGCTGTGAGTTTTTTAACTGGGAAGACTCTTTAGCCACATCATTATTTATTTTCTCAACCATTTCTGAGATCTCTAGTATCTTTCGTTGATTGCCGATCTCATCTTGTTTTATTGCATTAATGATAGAGTCAACCATTGAAGTTTGGGCTTTCAACAGACTTGTCATGTACTAGTGCTCTATTCTTGCCTTGCTAATGGTTTTAGACATTTCTTCCGCATAATCAGCATCAAGGACACCAAAAAGTGAACGCGCAATATTGCCGACTATATTGAATGGAGATCTTTTAAACTTTCTGTTGGTAAATAACTCCTTTTCCTGTAGTAGTTCATTTTTTATGTGTTTGAGATTGCTCACGAACATGTCACACATCTCGTGTTGCTGAATTACAGGACACATATGCTGCAGCGATTGTAAACCGGTTGATAGCGACTTTTTTTCTGATGCAAAAGGCGTTAAATCGTAATACACCAACATTTTCCATTCTGCCGTGTTAAGTTTCACTGTTCCCAAGCCTTCAAAATATAATCGCGGATCATTGTGAAAGGACCACAGGCATTATAAGCAAGGCTAATATTACTGATAGCATTATGGGGCTATTTGCGATCTTCATTCTTTTCCTCGGGATGGTATCTTTCCCATCTTCCTCTTGCCTAGAAGAGCCGATGTCTCCCTGCGTTGTCTGGTCTGTGGATAATTCACTATGCTCCTCTGAAAACAGTGGAGCCAGCCTCTGAATGGTCCGTTTGTATACTCCAGTTGATGTTTTCACATCAGCAACTCGTACAGCTCCATCGTCACCAGCGAACACATTGAGAATTCTTCCCAATGGCCACTTCATCGTAAATTGTCCTCCTTGATGATGACCATATCACCTTACCGAAGATTGTTCATCTTTCTCCTCCATTTGTTCCGTTGTTGCAGTTCGTGGAGGTATTCATCCGACCATCTTCTCCAGAACTGCTGCTTGATATGTGAGAGCAGCTTCCAATGAGATGTGCTGGAGGTCTTAACAGATTCTGCTCTGCTGTCTACTTGTGTAGTTAAAGCCTCCCCGATTAAAAAGTGTCCTGGTGTCAGTGCTTCAAGACAATCAGGATCGTTTGACAAAGGCGTGAGCGGCCGGGAATTTAGGATTGCTTCTATCTCGATTATGATCGTTTCCAATTCCTCATGTGTTAGGTTTTCCGTTGACACGCTACGTACCAAGAGGCGTTTCACGGACTTCACTGCTGCTTCCCATAAACCTCCGATATGCGGTGCTCTTGGTGGGATGAAATGAAAGTGAATGCCTTTAGCGCTCGAGGTTGAAATAATTGATTCTTGCGCTTTATCCGAATATATATTTTCAGATAGTTCCGCTAAATTATTCTTGGCTCCAACGAAGGTCGTAGCATTGTCGCAATATATGTTTTGGCAGAGGGAGTCATCTAACTCCTCTGGGCCGCTGAGACCTTTGCATCCGCTGAGACATTTGCATCTGAGGACGTAAGACACAATCCTTTGTAGTCTCCTGAAGGAATTTTTGTGATCGATTCCATCTATAAAGTGGATGTCAGAGGTTACTATGGCAGTCGTAGCGGCAACCTTTAGCTCCATGTTATTTGTAAGAGCATTTTGAGGAGGACATTTAGCACGCCACAACTCCTCCTTTCCGTGAAGAAAAACTGGACTATGAAACCATAATCGGCTCTTATATAGGTCTACTGGTTGCAGGCCTCGAGAAAGCATGTTGGCAGGATTCTCCTTTGACGGAACGTGCTTCCATTGCTCTGGTAATGACAATGTTTGAATGACAGACACCCTATTGGCCACAAATGTCTTATATAAGGTTGACTGGGATTTTATCCAGGCAAGGATAATTTCCGAGTCGGTCCATAGAAACATGGGATGACTTCGAAGCTTTAAGTCAATCCTTACTCTATTACCCAGTTCAGCTACTACCACTGTGGCACATAGCTCTAGTCGAGGATATGCTTGCTGTTTCAACGGAGTAATTCTGGATTTAGCGCAGATCAAGCGTACAGCTACGAGACCATCCTTTGTAACAAAGCGAATGTATACAGCAGCGCCAAACGCTTTCTCCGACGCATCGGCAAACACATGTGATTGCACCTTTGCCGGAATCTGCCCACCGAATACATGTCGTGGTATTTTGTAATTGTTGAGACCTTCCAACATGCTTCGAAATGTTTTCCAAGTAGAACAAAGTTTTTCGGGTAATGGTTCATCCCATCCTAATGCAAGTTGCCACAGCTGCCGGATAAACATCTTTGCTTTTACAACAATTGGTGCAAGCAGACCAAGTGGATCAAAGAGTTTCGCTAGCTCAGACGTAACTGATCGTTTCGTTATTACTTGACAATGATCAATATTTGCCTTCACGCAAAAATGGTCGGTCTGAGGCATCCAAAATAGTCCCAAAGTCTTTATCGTTTTGCTTTCATCAAAATCTAGACTGACTTCCCGATCACTATAAGGTATATCCTTTAGCAATCTTGGACTGTTTGACGACCATTTTCTTAAGTTGAAGCCGTGCTTTTTCAAAGCTCTCTTTTAGCATTTCTAAACCAAGGGGATAGCGATCCAAGTTGTCGTCTGCGATTTTCTGTAGACATTTTTGGCAAGGTACGGTGCTGCACGAGTTCCATATGTAACAGTATTGAGCTTGTAATAGCTAACTGGGTGCGATGGGTCTTCCCTCCAAATGATCAGTTGATATTTCTGATCATCGGGGTAAATTAAGATTTGTCTATACATTTTTTCAATGTCAGTTGTGAAGACAAACTTTGGTAATCGGAACCGTAGCAGGATAGAGAACAGTTCGCTTTGCACAGTTGGTCCTGTGTACATTAAGTCATTTAACAAATGACCCGATGACGTTTTCGTGGATGCATCAAATACCACCCTTAATTTTGTCGTGGTACTATCCGGTTTACGCGCACAGTGATGCGGAATGAAATATTTAGGGTTCGACACTATATTCACGTCAATTTTCTGCATGTGTCCTAGCATTTCATATTCCTGCATGAACTTGATGTATTGCAAGCGAATATCATCCTTCTGAAGAAGCCGACGTTCAAGACTCATGAACCGGTTATACGCCATCGCATGAGATTTTCCCAATGTTGTTGGAGATTCTTGAAAAGAAAGACTAACAATGAATCGACCGTTCTGATCCGTCTGGACATGCTGATTATAATGAGACTCGCAGCGGGTTTCCAGCGGAGACATTACCCTTTCTGTTGATGCTACTTCCTCGAGTTTCCATACTTCTCAATTGCTTGTGCCAGTGAAGTTTCACTATCGAAAATTGCACATGTTAGCGGTGCTGATGTGACGTTCGTTGATGATTGTTTTATTAAGCCGCCTACAATCCAGCCAATCGCAGTAATTGGTTGATTATTATTCAGTTTTATTGTACCCGGTTGCATTAGGCTGAAGTAAAACTCCGCTCCGAGTAGGATGTCAATTTTTCCTTGAATATTAAAAATTGGATCCGCCAATTTAATGTTCGTTGGAATCTGCCAGTTAAATATGTCCAAATCGTGATTCGTTTGTGCAGGTATAATCGTTGGTAAAACAAATGCTTCCAAATAAGATGAAAATCCAGAATTGTTAGACAACATGTTCACACGATGATAAGCCTTTTTCTGGATTTTTCCAACTCCGTCAATAGACAAAGGGGTCTCTGTTGTTGCAATTGATAACCTTTTAATCAGCCGTTCTGTAACAATATTTACTTGTGAACCGGAATCAAGCACAGACCTAAACTCGCCTGACATGCCATTTGCAGCTTTTATGGTAACTCTCCCAGTGGCACGAATTACGTTCTTCTGATCTTCTGCTGATGCCGAAGAAATTACAGCAGTATTGACTGGTGTATGATTGCTACTTGTGGTTGACGTTTGATTTAAGCCCGTTGATGATGATTGAGATCTCCTTGATAAATGTAACAACGTATTGTGTTTATTATTACATTTCTTGCAGTTACCAGATGTGCAGTTTTTCGCTATATAATCAGCCTTAAAACAGTTCACGCACATCTTATGTTGTTATACCCATTGGAGTCTTTCAGATTCTGACATCGCTAAAAATTGCTTACACTGATAAAGACGATGTTGACCAATTTTGCATAGTTTGCAATTACTGTGATTCTCCATTGATGTTATGGACAAAACAGCTTTGCTTGAACCTTTGTGATCAGTTGCCACTTTCCCAATCGATTCCATTGACTCAGACTGCAATTCCAAAAATGCAAAGAGTTCTTTCATGGAAGGGACCTCATTCGGATTTTTCTGGATTTTTCCAACTCCGTCAAAAGACAAAGGGGTCTCTGTTGTTGCAATTGATAACCTTTTAATCAGCCGTTCTGTAACAATATTTACTTGTGAACCGGAATCAAGCACAGACCTAAACTCGCCTGACATGCCATTTGCAGCTTTTATGGTGACTCTCCCAGTGGCACGAATTACGTTCTTCTGATCTTCTGCTGATGCCGAAGAAATTACAGCAGTATTGACTGGTGTATGATTGCTACTTGTGGTTGACGTTTGATTTAAGCCCGTTGATGATGATTGAGATCTCCTTGATAAATGTAACAACGTATTGTGTTTATTATTACATTTCTTGCAGTTACCAGATGTGCAGTTTTTCGCTATATAATCAGCCTTAAAACAGTTCACGCACATTTTATGTTGTTATACCCATTGGAGTCTTTCAGATTCTGACATCGCCAAAAATTGCTTACACTGATAAAGACGATGTTGACCAATTTTGCATAGTTTGCAATTACTGTGATTCTCCATTGATGTTATGGACAAAACAGCTTTGCTTGAACCTTTGTGATCAGTTGCCACTTTCCCAATCGATTCCATTGACTCAGACTGCAATTCCAAAAATGCAAAGAGTTCTTTCATGGAAGGGACCTCATTCGGTCTTTTAACGATTGCATAAATCGTATGTACAACGCATGATCCAACTTCTTCGTAATCAATTGGATCAATAGCGCGTCCCACGACGAAGTGTCAATATCCAGGTTGTTCAGGGCTAGCATACATTCCCTCGTCGCATCATGTAAAGCTTTGATAGAAGCGGTTGATGAGGTTCCTGTTGGCTGGTTCAGAATACGTTCTACCAATGTTGAAACAAGAACCCGTTTGTTATTG